GCCGGATTTTTATTCGAAACGCTTGGATTTTGATGACCAAATTACTTCGATGGCTAAATTTGAACAGGCGAAATTCGATAGTTTTTTTCAGCGAAATAAAGACTCGCTTTCCTCAAATACATCAATAAGCGCTTCTCGGGCTGTGGATGCACAGGTTACGTCATTTACGTCTATCACTTCTATTCCCGAAGATGAACTAATAATCAACGAAGGGAAAACAAGCGATCTTGGATTTATTTTCAAGAAACATACACAGCTTACCGATGCGGAGAGATACAGGCTTCTAACTTCGGATGGTCCGAAAAACGTGACGATTCTGGATACTGTTAGACAAAGTCGTCGGTAAATTTCTCAAAAAATGGATTGACGATAACAGATTTTGCAGTTGGTTAGTTTACACCCAACTCTCTGATGGGGGTGGTTTGTGTAAGATATGCATAGTCATGCAAGCACGTTTGGAGCATGGAACACTCAGGGACACTGCCTTTGTTACAAGACCATGCATTGACTACAAAAAATTTATGGAAAAGGCTGTAGCACACCGAGACACAAATTACCACCGAGAATCAAATATAGCTGCGAAAAATTTTGTCAAAAGCATGGAAACATACCCTTGCGCCGACATTCCGGGGATAGTGGAAATTTTGTGAACCTTCTTCTATTTCCTATCGACGCAGGGGATGAAGATTTGAAAAGGCATTTCGCTCGAATGGCCGGAAACGCTAAGTATACAAGCCCGATGATACAAAATGAAATTCTCAAGGTAGCAAGCAACATGATAGTGCAAGATATCGTTATGGAGGCTAATAAATCGTTTGTGTCCGTAATAGCCGACGAATCATGTGATATTTCTGGGAAAGAACAACTAAGCATGGTGTTGAGGTATGTGAAAGGTGGTGAAGTGTGCGAGCGCTTCACAGGATTAGTGGAAATGGATTCTGTTTCTGCCGAATCAATTTCCTCAAATATTTTGACCCACCTCTCTGGTATAGGAGTGGATTTGCAAAAACTTGTGGGGCAAGGCTATGATGGTGCAACGACAATGGCAGGTCACGTCAGCGGTGTGCAAAAACGCATTCGTGATAAATACCCGCGCGCAATATTTGTGCACTGCGCTTCTCATTGTTTGAATTTGGTCATAAATGACCAAAGTAAAGTTGCAATCATCAGAAGCACCTGTGATATGATTCGTGAGACTATTCGTTTTTTCAGGGAGAGCCCTAAAAGGCGCGCGGGTTTAGGAATTAACATTCCTTTGTTCTGCCCCACCAGATGGTCTGAGAAGTACAAGAGCATCCGAATCTTCAAATGCAACTTCAAACGAGTACTTGAGGCTCTTGATTCTTTGGCGAGAGATGCTAACAGTGAGACGCGGGCGAAGGCTTTTTCTCTGAAAACTGCTCTAGAAAAGTCGTCGGTTATCTACGCCGTATGTTTGATTGGTCGATATTCGGCACTAATGGAGCCACTAGCGCGCACTTCAGGCAGTCGGAGTCAGTGTGCCGTCAGTAAAGAACCTCACATCCTCTCTTCAGAGCGTTCTAGCATTGAATATTTACAAAGAAGCTTGTGAAATAGCTGGCTTGAAAGAGTTGACAATACCCAGAGTAGTCGAAGTACAAGTTTATCACGACCATGTCTGTGCTGATTCAGCATCCCAGTATTTTAAACGTTCCGTATATCTCCCATACGTCGACGGCTTGAGCTGCTCTATTCGGGAACGCTTCATTGACAACCCATCATTTTTTTCATTGCTATCAATTCTTCCACCGAACAAACCAGTTCACGTGGATGAGGTAGAGCGTCTGTATTTATTGGATAACCTCCAGAATGAAGTGAGACTGTGGAGAACTTCTCTAAGTTCCGACGTTAACGACGAATGTTTGGAGGGGCTTCTTCTGAGCGCTCGAGATTATCCGTGCGTGTACACCGCAATGCAGATCGTTATGACGCTACCAGCAACCACCGTTGAGGCTGAGCGGTCTTTCTCATGCAGGAAACGGGTAAAGACATGGCTGCGCTCATCAATGACGTCCAATCGCCTTTCTGATTTGAGTGTGCTTCACTGTCACCGTGAAATGGTCACCGAAGAGAAAATTAATCGAGTTGTGTCGGGCATAGTTGGCGGGAAGCGAAGGATGGACTTTTAATCGCGGCGATGTATTTTACTTATTCAAATTGCGTTATTAATATTTGTTGTTTCAAATAAAAAATTGTTTATTACTGGATTTTGTATTCACAAAAATCCAGCTGAGTAATCGAATCAGTTTGCTTGTTGACCAACTGTTGTTGTTTTGCGCTTGAAGAACGGGTGTTTTAAACCCAATATAATTTCTATAATTTTCAAATTTGGCCCCCCCCCCAAAATTTTGGGCTGGCTACGCCACTGATCATTGGTACCATGATATTACGATAATAGTCGAGTCTATTGACAAAAATACTACTTGTATTCAGATAATTGTGTATATTTTCTGAGAGTAATAAAATTTATTGGCAATACAGGCAACAACAATCGAAAATCCATTATGCCTTTAAAAATTCTAATATTTAAGCCTAGAGTATTCTACTACCTACCAGTATATTTGTATATAAATTTATGTGAACCATATTGTTATTATGTGTAACATATTGTTGTGTTTGGAGTTAGAAATAAATTAGTAGAGAATAGATGACAACCACTGCCAGCGCGCAGTCAGGATTTTCAAAATCGGAAATTCTCATTGCCGCCTGTAACACCCACCGCGATTCCGCGCTCGTTAAAAGAGCCGTCTTGTCAGCGTATAATGATCATTCTGTTACGTTAAATATTCAATCCATGACAACTACGAGATTCTAAAATATCTTTATATATTAATTTAATGTGTCCAACATAACTCGCGGTTGCTTCTTCTTACGTCAAAAAAAAACATTACTGTTCGGTCCACGGCAATCTGTGACCTAAAATTACGAGATAAACTGCTTGATGTATTTAATTTTAATATGTATTTTTGCAATCTTGCCAACTCGTTATCGCCGTTAGAAAAATCTCAAATAATTATATAAAATCCTGTTAAGTGTAGAGAATAATTCATTTCATACAATGAATATACATATAAAGTTTAGCAGTAAATTAAAAATACATATTCATCGCGCGATTATGCCACCTGTTAAAAGAGTCGACTTTTACAACAAATAATATAACAACGAATATATATTTTTCTGTTGTGCAAAGTGATGAATTCGTGACCGACACGGACATATTTAAAATGTGTTGCTCTTATTAATTTAATTGTCTTTAATTTAACCTGCGGTTGCGTCGACAAAATAAAATCCTCACCACTCTTATATACCATTGCAGTCCGCGGCCATAAAAAATAAAAACGTGAGGTAAACTGTCCGATTAATATTGTTTTTATCCGTATTTTGCTAATTCGGGCAAATATTTAGATGTACTTGTTAACAGTGACTCCGCTCGATCGAAATGCTCAGAGTAAAATATCTCAGAGTAAAATTTATTTCATCACAATAAAATTGATTGAATATACTTTAGATTAATTATATTATATACATCCTCACCAGGGAAACCAGGGAAAAAGTCGCGTTTCAAAACCTTGTATCGTGTTAACCCGAAAATATTCGACGGCATTTAAAGTAATGGATAATCAGGCAAATCCCGCCCTCAATTAGTAACGATATGTTTCTAAACGCCGACCAAACATAATGTGTGCCAAAGGCACACGAAATTTTGCGATTTTCACTGCCTAGAAAAGCGTTTTTTAAATTTTCGCGGGCCTCAATAAAACTTATGTTGTTTACGGTTTTATTTTCAGTATTTTAAATTGCCGCTTTTCAATCAAAAAGTTGCGTTGTCTTTAGAAACTCGCCGCCGATAAACGTATTTACCAGATTCACAATTCCGTGCGCGTGCAAAAATAAAATAAATGTTATCGTGATCGTGGAACAAATTTGTGGAAAATTTTCGTTTTAGAGAAAATAACACAATCGTAAAGGCGTTTACGGGCCTAAATAACACGTTACGTTGATGAGTGATAAAAATGATCACGCGCAAGTTTCTATCGAGAATGTTTTCATTCAGCGGAAACGTCTTGAAAGCGGCGTCGAAAATGTGTGACGTCACACAAATATCCGATATTCTTATGAACGTGAATTCCGATATTCGAATGACGAGATATTCGAATACATTCGAATACTTTATTCGAATTGGCCATCCCTGATATTATATAGCCTACGGTGTTCATTCATAGAATCGAAATAAACTTATAATAGTCGAGCCAAATTTAAATTTTGTTGACTTTCAATGACAGAATGAACTTACAGACTTACTAATCTATTTACTATTACGGTACTATATTCAGATATTAGCAAAGAAACTTTTTGTCAATCCATTATTTTGTTTTTGAGAAGTAGTTATGGGAATCCCCACTTATTTCAGCACAGCTCACCTTTTGCAAAAAAGATCTGTTCTATTTAGCTATGGAACTGAAGATTTCGAGAAAATGCCATTTCACTTTTACCAACCGCAATAAATATATTGTATGTTTAGAAGTCTTGTATTGTAATTGACCTGCATTAAAACGTGATATATATTATCTGAGGTGGGAACTATGATATACACATGATATAGCATGGGTAGACTATTCCAATCTATCACTATCTTATACTCATATACTTCGAATGAATCAGAGTAAAACTAGTCCTGATATGTGATAGGAGAGTAAGTACGGTAATCACAGGCCGTTTCTAAGCAATTGAATATTTTGGGTTCATGGCCATAGTTGGAAATAATCAAAACAACTCAGAAGTCACATTTCCTCATCATTTTGATGGCGAGAATTCTCATTTGATAATTTTCCCAGGAATTCAGACCTGCAACCGTAAAGTAACATGCTGACATGAGCAAAATCACCTATTATGTTCAATAATAAAATGTAGTTTTGATTTGGAAGAGAAACCACAGCCGTTAACAAAATGGTATTATCTTTATGCAGGTGTTAGGATTGTTATATTTAGTTACTGATCTGAGCAAGGTCGAGCTGAATGATCATGAATGAAGATTACATTAAACAAACAAATTCAACCCAAGCCGGTTTGCTTATGACATCACTCGATAGCTTGAGAGAACAAAACATTCTCTGCGATTTCGATGTGAAAGTTGGTGACGAATCCTTCTGTGCTCATCGCTGTTCACAATTTTCTAGTCAGTCTGTTCAGCAACTAACATCTACAAGTACTAGAGCAGATACAGAAACTTCCCTGGGCAACACTCCATCAAGTAGTCGCAGCTCTGGGAATGCCGAAGAACCACAGATGGGAGCAGTGGGTGGATACAGGGATGGCGCTTCAGGTACAATCTCTTGCATTTGTGTTTCATAACTGAGATTACTGAAGTAAGCACTGAGTCTGATTTCACTATGGATTGTTCATGTCTAGCTTGTTTTACATAATTCTGAACAATATTGTGATAATTTTTAATCCATAGAAAATATAAATACTGGTATAATATTTAGCATAATTAGGAAAATAGGTCATCTTAACTTCATTCATTCGTTTCTGTTTTTTAACTAACGAGGTTAAAACTGAATGAACCAATACCCAGTAAATACTATATTTGGATCACTGGGTGATGACGTAACAGTTGAAGCAATAGGCTTCACTGTTGCCATTTCAGATTACGCCTTCCGGGTTCAAATTCCACACCTCACCCACCACACCCAAGGTGTAATGGGTTGGGTAGGCAACGCTGTTCCTCCCCAATAATAGTAGCTTCTCACACATCAGTGGCTTATCAGTTCCTTACATATCAGTGACTGCTCGTACAGGACTTTGTTCAGTACGAAGGCGTAGATAAGCGTCAAATAAAAAAATTCAATACTGCTTAAAAAGCATAAATAAAAATATAATATCCAATTTGAGTCTAGTATTGGCATGGGGGCTAAGGTATTTCATGGATTCAAGAATTACAAAAGAGTTGTTCGTTTATTTATTATATAATATTACAATATGAGACCTTGTTTATTTTTTATAAAAGATTACAATATGCCCTGTCAATTTATTTTATGTATAATAATAGCCCAGTATTGTGATATTTCTTACTAATCCCTTTCAATCAAATATGTTTCAATTTTCAGAATCTCAGTCTTCAAGTCAAGCTACTTTATCTGGTCTAAGAACCATCAACCAACAACCACCTGGTGGAAGAATGTCAGTGAGAAGGTTGAGAGAACCACTGCCAGGATATAGATGGGGTACTCTTGTCATCACCTCATTCCCTGCTGGAAGTCTGAATGTGAGTCATGTAATGAATTCAGTTGGTTGGATATTAAATCATGTATTCACTGGAACCAAGATTCTTGTTGTATTAATTTACATTGGTTCTAGGTTTAACATTAAATCTTCCAAATACAATTATTCTGCCCCCAAATAGCAATTGAATTCTAATTATACTTTTGTTATTATATTGTTCAATTTAAACAGGGCACAAGCAACCACTAATGCATAATAAGCTATTATTTTTGGATGGAATGTCATTTTTTCGTTTCGGAATTGCCTACTCGAGTTATTACATCCTGGATAAGGCAGTGGGCATGGGACTTGAACTTGGAACCTTCGAATTATGATCCAACATAGCTAAGTCCAATGCTATAACCACAAGGCCATCACAACACCTCAGTGCTAAGATGTTCTAGAAATTTTTTCCGATGTTTCTAGAAAGCTTTTTTTTATATTGGTTTAATGGCCCCTTGCAGAATTTACCTCTACCAGTGCTGATGTCCAAAATAAATGAATATTCACAATTGTTTATATTACATAGAGCAAATTCTTGATTTGAGGTTTTCATTTCAAAATTTGTCTTTTAAAGCATTTGATTATTGGAGAAATCGTATGACTTTCTTTAAAATCTGACATTGCAAATTGCAAAAATCAATCCAAGCTGCGTTTATATCAGTTATTCTGCATTACTGAATTAAATTTCCACATATGTAATTGTACAGTGATTTTCACAGACTCTTGTTGGACATGGCCCAGTTTAAAATATATTTAATATTGAAAGAAAATATTATTTAAGAATTTATATGAAATAGTAAATTAGGTACGGTATTTCATTTTGGCAATAATCTTCATAATTTCTCTTAAGCCTGATAGTTTTGTCCGACTATAAGATTCCAAACGCCTAAAATGACAAACTTACCATATGAATTTTTTCTATGAAACGTTTGTCATGTCTTTTATTTCAAACAAGGCTATGTATGAGTATGAGCAGCCACTGATACGCAAGGCTAGGGCTGGGCATTTTCGAATACCTTGTGATTTCAGAATCGAATCGAATAATTTTTTCGAATCGAATCTCGAATACTTGAAAATATATATTTGTAAGCCATCTTAATATAGTAATTGTTCCTCTCAACAAATGAATTACTGAAGACATAGAATAAATCACTCAGATAGATTACTGAGCGTTCACACAGAATAACTCACTACAGGAAATAGTCATATGTTAGAATTTCGTTGAAAAAATATGACTCCAATGAAAAAAAACTTGGGGAATTCACCTCGACCATTAGCGTAAAGATAAAAACAAGATGGCGGCGATTCGAAGTTTAGCTCTGAACCGATTCGAATAATTTACTATTCGATTCGAATATTCGATTCGAAATGCCCACCCCTACGCAAGGCACTACTATTTATTGTAGAACTGAAATCTTCCTGGTTGCATTGCCACCTAATTTATCTTACACTCCTACCTATTTCATTATACACTGAGTAATGTGCTTGAATCCGAGATTTTTAACCTGTGATGCCAACGTAGTTTGGCTACTTCTCCTAACATTAATCTTCAAATCCCAAATCGACGATCTCACCAACGTTGTATATAAATTGGCAAGCAATGCTCTGCCTGAAAAAATGTTGGTCGTTTAGTTTTTTCATAAATCACCTCTTACATATCAGTGGATTTTCTGTGTATCAGTAATATGTTAGTGTCATCATATTCTAACTCTGCTCCCAATAATAGATATATTATGTTTGATTTCTTTCTTGAAAAATTAAAACTTTTTTTAATAAATTATGTGAAGGCAACTCTGAACAAGGTGCCACTGATTCTATGTTTTCTGAGGTTTTTTTCTGTTTGCACTGGAAAAAAAATATAAAATGTAAAATATTTTTGGTTCCAATGTGTGCCCTTCTCAACTGGAAATCAAATTTTTTGATAGGCAATGTTTAGCGAAATAGATTCCAATTGTTAATTTAGATATTGCTTTAGGCCGGGGGTCGGCAACCTTTTGTCACTTGCGGGCCAAAATTAAGGGATGCAAGTCATTGGCGGGCCACACATATTTTTAGAAAGTTGAAAACCGAACGGATGATACTTCTTACACAATAAAAATCGAGCAGTGATACTTGTCACGAATAAAATATAGGTTTATTTCCTCATTGCATGGCATCTATAAAACATTCCATTTGAATATTTTCTGCGCCATTGAACACTTTGCACTTAGGATCAACTTTTCTGCATTTTGTTGTCATTTGTCCAATTATATATAAAATATAGGCTCATTTAACGAGTAATTGTGAATTATATACTTAAGTCTACATGTGTATCACAATAAATTTGTGACATAAAGAATATAATCATCAAAACAGCTGGTTTTTTACTATAATTCAGTGAAGTGTCCGGCCGATAATTTGGCCCGCGGGTTGTAGGTTGCCGACCCCTGCTTTAGGCCTCAGCTTGTTTTCCGCCTTGTTCAGAGTGAGTATTTGATAACATCCTATAAAAAGAATGATTTTGCAACTGTCTGCTTCTAAGGAATCATCATTTTTATTCGAAACGATCCTGAGTTGCAGAAATTTTAGTTTAAAGCTCAACATATGACCTGGTGTTTATATCAGTTTTAAATAATTATCAGAGATGGAAGTTGAATAACTTAGAGATGTTTATTTTTGCAGGGTGTTTCATATGAGGCAAAGAAGTTCACTGAATATTTGCCTTCTTCTCAATACCTCAGGAACTTGCTCCGGAAAGCATTCAATACAGGATTGCTCTTCAAGATTCAGATAATTGGAAGCAGCAGAGGAGAGATAATATGGAATGATGAATTTCCTCATAAAACTAACAAACTTGGAGGTCCAGATAAGTAAGTTTTCTGATTAAATATTCTAAAATATGCACAATTGTTATGAGGATTGACTGGGGCCTCAACTAAGTTATATCAATGACAGATGTATTAAAAATTTAGTTCCAACAAAAGTTGAGATTTTAAATGTGAATAGCAAAAATTAAAATGGCCGCAGCTCCGTAGTATGTACAACAAGATGGCGAACACCTGAACATAGTATATGTACCAGGTTAGGGTTATGCCATAATTTTATTCCAATTTTCCATGTTTTAGTTCGATTACGAGTTCGGGGACCAGCCAAGTGACTCCTGTAGTATTTGTACCTGAAATTATGGCCTAACCCCAACCTGATACACATACTGTGTTCCGATGTCCGCCATCTTGGTTCACATACTACGCGAGTACCTTAAAATAAACCACTGTTTTCAAACTTTTATTTATAAATCAAAAAAAGGCATCTTTGGGTTGCGATTTTGATCCCATAACCATCCATCCAGCTTGTGACATTTGTAACCACTCAACCACAGATATCTTGTCCGAGGTAAAATCAAGTACAACGTTCTCTACTTTCCTCTCTTGATTTCAAGCAACATTTAAATTTGTTTATACACATCTATTATACACCCTTAACTTTGAACAAAGCTATATATAAGAAACCATCGCATCCATCAAATTCCAGTTGATGGGTGAGGGATGGCCAGGAAGCATTCTTTCTATTCCTGATAAATATTGACCATGATTTGTCATGCTGTTGCAAAATGTTAGGGTGTACGTGACTGAGGGTAATTTCTTAGTGACAATCAGAATCAACCATTATGGTATTCAGGCTTGAATTGTCTGCAACGTGACTGTAACCAGGTTCAACGACCAGCTGTTGTTTACTAGGTTTCTCTGTTGTCACATCTGTCATTGGAATTATGGTTGCCCAACTTTGTATCTATTTGATCCGTATTCCAGTAACGACTAAATTTTCTGCTTCTCTGTTGTCAATGTTTCATTGGGCTTCCAACATATAAATTATAGTTACACTTACACTGCTTATTCTTAAAATTCTTTTATAAACAAGATCTTTGAGTTTTTATATCATACAACGCTTATCCACATATTTTGGATAAGGTATTTAAGCTTCCACTGATATGTAGCAATATTTAAGGAGCTAATAATATTTGGCAGAACTAGTTTCTTTTTTGGTTCGGCATTGCCTCTCAATATTTTGGGTAGGGTGATGGCCACTGGATTTGAACCAAAGATGTGCAGTTTGCAAGGGCCAACCCAATTAAGTTTACCGCTTCAACCATTATGCCATCGTGCATCATGAATATATATTTTACATTCCTTACATTCAAATCTCACTCACACAGGCATCGTTAAGTTAAGCATTTGTTAGTCCTAAGCAGTCAAATATATTTGTTATTTTCAGTGTTCTTTTATTGAACATCTTATTTTTTACTGTTAATTGAAATCAGACTCATATGCAACTACCATTATCTCTCATGCAATCTAATATTTTTCAGCAATGGATATCCTGATGATGACCATGAGCGTAAACTTTGTGATGCATTGATAGCAAAATTAAATGCAGCAGGAATTGAATACTAACAATAGATGATCAACAATGGACGTTGAACACTATCCGGACAATACTATATTGTCTCATCCATTGATTTTGTAGTGTCATTATCAAGCATTTCATCAAGCCACTTATAAATATTATAAAGTTCGGTGAACTGCAATATCAGTCAGAATGACTCAGATATCTTTAAAGGACATTTTATATATCTCAAGGCAATTTTCAAGATAGAACAGCAAACTTTGGGGTACAGTGGTAAAAAATAAGTTCCTGTCATTACCGGAACAGACCCTAAATTGCCTGAACGGGGTGGAAAATTAATCTAAACCTACCGGAACTACCTATAGCTATCTTGTAAAAGTTGTGTAGAAATTGAATACTAACAATACAAAATCAACAATGGACGTTGGACTCTACTTGAACAATATAATATTAGAACCCCTTCATTACTTATCGATCTTAAGATCGGTAAGTATATTGATAGGTATTTGTCTGTATGTATGTCTGTCTGTATGTATGTCTGTCTGTCTGTATGTATGTCTGTCTGTTAGATGCACGCGATATCTCACGAAAGCGAAATTGAATCTGCTCCAGATTTTGCATGTGCATTCATCTTATCTCGGACCAGTAGCCTATTGATTTTGGGCGAATTATGTCGTATAATTAGCGAGTTATCAATCAATTATTGATATAGTGATCTAGATTTTTGTAAAGCGAGAGAATTTTGAAACCCGCCGAGTGTGTGTGTGCGATGCGCAGTGCGCAAGTTACAAGAGCGGATGAATCGAAACTGCAGTTTCTGTTTTGGGGGATCCCCTAACTATCGATCGATAAGTCTTCGGTTTCCAACCGATATTCTCGTTGATTTTATATTGTCATTATCAAGCATTCCATCAGGCCACTTGCAGAATATTATGAAGTTCAATGAACTGCAATATCAGTTGGATTTGGCTCAACCTTTCATGTTTAAATCAAGCTCTATTCATCATATCTCGGACCAGAAGCCTATTGATTTTGGACGAATCATGTTGTATAATTAGTGAATTATTAATTAATTAGTGATGGGACACAAGGTGTCACTATGGAGTAAGAGCGCTGTTTTGGGGGATCCCCTAACTTTGTCTTTGATGATATTCTCTGTACTAGTATTTTGTTTTGTTGTTAATCTTTTGAGTAAGGATCAGAAGATTTGGTCGGTCAGAGTTTACAAATCTGTAAAAGAAAATGAATGTGTTTTTTAATTTTGCTAGTATTCATTTTTTCATGGGTTAGCAAACACACACATTTACTATTTTAAAGTATCCACAATAATTTTGCTAAATTTATCAAACTCGCGCCTATTATGATTTAAGCCTGAATCTCTAGAACACAACATTTTTAGTTTTCCAAGTTCCTCCAAACTGCTTCTTCTTGTCGTTTTTGATTGGTTTTACTCTCTTACTATTCATCTATCCATTATGATTATGCATATCCTTTTCTAATATTTCATTACTATATTTTACTGTATGAAAAACCATTTAAATCAGTTCATCCCTCTACTTCTGGCTAATTCCATTCTAGTTACTTAAGTTTCAGTTGCTTTTTTCAGTATTTTCTCTTTCAGTAGGATTCTGTTATGTTGTTAAGCCTTTGAGTAAGGATGAGAAGGTTTGGAAGGTCAGAGTTTACAAATCTGTACTAGAGAATAAATGTGTTTTTACTTATCGATCTTAAGATCGGTAAGTATATTGATAGGTATGTCTGTGTGTCTGTTAGATGCACGCGATATCTCACGAAGGCGTGGTTGAATCTGCTCCAAATTTTGCATGTGCATTCATCATATCTCGGACCAGAAGCCTATTGATTTTGGATGAATTATGTCGTATAATTAGCGAGTTATTAATTAATTAGTGATGAAGAGATCTGGATTTTCACAAATCGAGAGATTTTCGAGACGCGCTGAATGTGTGTGTGCGTATCAGATGCGCAAGTTTTCACGCTAGTGAGTCAGAGCGAAGGATACACACCGCTAGATCGTATCTCGTGATTAATCTTTGAGCCTTCTTGTAACTTTGACGTCGTCGCGATGCGCAAGTTTCCTTCGAGAAATTTTCCACACTATTGAGTCAGAGCGAAGGATACACGCCGCGAGATCGTATCTCGTTACTTATAATTACTCCTTAAAGTTTAAGCAATGTCCATATCCCTAAATCAGATTCGGGGTTGCAGTATTCCTCATTAAAATATCGCTAGGCTGTGTTTGAATAGCCGTCGCAACCTGGGTTAGCGCCGTTGTATTTGACACAAACTATAGGATTGGTAAATACAGAAATAGGCTATTGGCTGGAAACTAATCGAAACAATCCAGTTCAGATTTGCAGAATTCTTCATAAAAGTATTTCCTCGAGTAGTATTTCGACGACATGGGGAGTTGGCTATTGTTTCCTACATTTCTGATATTGGCTGAAAACTAATCAAAACAATCCAGTTCGGGTTTGCAGAATTTTTCGAATCGAAACCGCAGTTTCTGTTTTGGGGGATCCCCTAACTTTCGATCGATAAGTCTTCGGTCTCTGACCGATATTCTCGTTTGCCCTTTATTCATTCTTTCATGAGTGAGCAAACACATGCCTAACATATCTGCTAAACATGAACCGGTATGATGCATGGCATAGTCTGCCTATTTAATTGTAAGATACAAGTTTTGTATTTATCCTAGCAGAGAAGGCTAGTTGAGCACTCTGCTATTAGCCTGGTTATCATAAAAATGAAATGCCAAAATCTGATCTATATTCAGATGTATCATGAACTTGCTTGGCAGACGAAGCTGTAACCAACCAGATACCACCACCATATTAGCCTCCATTAGTTTTTCTAATGCCCTCATTTAACTACATGGTTTAATCTTTATTTGAATGGTTTTTTACCTTTGCCTTCAGTTATTTGAACACTGTGATATTATATTTGAACATTTAGCACCCACTGTATATGTTTTCTAGCTCTTACTTTTCTCCCTTATTTATACCAGTGTCTGTTTTTATTAAAAATTATTTCTTGCTGAGAACATTCTATATTAATACCAAAATGACCGTGATACATCAATGCATTTTCTATCCAAAGTTAATATATAATGTACGTTATGTGATACAAATTATTACCAGTGTACTATCCAATTTCATACTGTTACCAGTGTTGTCGTTTCTTCTATCCAATTTTATAGACGTTTAAATTTTTATTGTCCCCTTATTGCATAGTAATTTTACTTGATATTGTTCATAGTGATGTATTTTCCATTTATGTTATGGCTCATCCAACACTGTTATTAAGACATCCATGAGCAAACAGACATTTGGATATCATATTCATATTACCGCTATTATTTATCCGTAGGAGAAGAAATCTCATGAGGTAGCTCCATATGGCATGGCAGACTATGGCATGATTATGGCAGATTACGGCTTGTTGCCAGATTATTTGACTATAACAATTGCCACCCAGCTAATCATTCAAGAGTTCAGTGGTCATCCCACACTTACTAGCAACATTCTTTTACATGATCCTATCTTACATTTAAAATGAAAGAAGCAACGAGTCTCTGAAATATAAGGCAATCTTTTGGTATGCAATCTTGACAATTGTATTTATCGCAACCTTGAACATCTTTTAAATTTCAGATTTGTATGACTTAGCAATTGTATCCATCGTTACCTCCAGCATATCATTGATTTAGATCAGTGGTTCTCAACCTTTTTTCTGTTGTGGCCCATTTTTGTTGGGCAAAATTTCCGTGGCCCATTAATTTTTCCATACATGCCAGGGTAAAACTAAAAGAAAACCAAATAATTCTTCCCGCAATATAGACTAATAATTGGAAAGGAAATTACCAACCTGTAACAAATAACAGCAGCATCATTTATTGCTACCTCAATCAAAATTCAACTTTACTGACACAAATAAAACTAAATTTATCAATAACTGTAGCAATTTTTAGTAGGTTTGTGGCCCGCCTGAAAATGTTTCTGTGGCCCAGCAGTGAACCATGGCCCACTGGTTCAGAACCGGTGATTTAAATAAATAACTGACTTGTTTAAATTAAGGTTAGGACGGCAACATTGCCGTTTGAATTAAGATCAAGATGTACACATTGCCCGGGCAAATAAGCTCATAAAGGTAAATGGACTGAACAGTATGTTTTAGGTTGGGAAACAAATACTGATATTGCAGATCAAAGTCTCACTGATAGGTCCACATCTGCAATTTATTCATGGTTGAAAAATTTTCAAAATGTTCTGCATGTCACAGATCTTGAATTGTCCGCTGATTTTAGTTTCTATTTTATAGTTGATGGCTGTATGTTGTAGTATTGAATTTTTTCTTGTTAAATTTTATTATTGCGTTTGCATTTATAGCAGTAGCATAGTTTCGTAGAAGTAAAAAAGGTAGTTTATATTGTTTGACAACGTACGTGACTGTGTTCCACAGGTTTACCGACAGTCTTTTGCGAACAAACAAGGTTGTTGAACATCATCGTACTACCAAGTTGGGTCTAATTCAGGGGTGGGCAAGGTTTTTCAATTAAGGGCCAACAATTTTGCCCACCTAGTCTGGTGGGCCATGTAAGTGTGACGTGAAAAGTTACATTTTATGAACAATATCTACAGTGTTACAAAGCAAAGGTGGAAAACAATATGCCTCGTGCGAAAATTAAATTTAACCACAACTTCAACAAATTCCTTGAGCTATTTTTAGCTAAAACATAAATATTTGATTTCAATCTGGCTGTGGCAGCATCAAGCGGGCCAGATTGAATTACCCGACGGGCCGGATTTTGCCCGCGGGCCATGTCTAATCTAATTAGTTTCAGGACAACATTCGGTGCATTATGACTAACGGTTTACGCTCGTGGTCTTTCCTACATAAGATGAGCAATAGCAAATGATTTGTATTAATTGGTAAGCGACAAGTCCTAAATAAGTAATCGGTCCTGGTGTATAAACTTGACTGGGCTCGAAGGCCGTAACTGACCAGCACCGGGTGCACAATCTGCGGCTGATTGTGTGTGTTTTAGCTGCAAAGCGAGCACATTGCAACATTATTTGCAATACCAGAATTCCATTAGTTATTCGCCGTGCGATGGTGGCTTAGGCAACATATGCGTTCGTCTAACTTAATGTACAGTTCTGCGAGAAATAAACTTTGATGTCCACCACACCTACAATATGTTTCTACTCAAACTTGTGCTACACCTTAAAAAATACTCCCTATTTCGTACTTTACTATTGAACATTTTTTCACTTTTAAAATTTATAAACCATCAATTTATTAAAAAATTATCTAACCCCCTGCCGCTCACAGGTGGACCACTGATATCTAATTCAGTAATTTTAGCGTAGTTAATCACATCGTTACTGCAATTGCAGAATTAAACTAATGCTGAAAGCTCACATAAACCATATCAGGCATAATGAAAATGGAGTTATACAACTATTTTTTGGAAACAGAACGTAAACTGACGAATAACACGCAAA